GATGGATGATGGATGAACGAACGATGTATGGATGGATGAATGAATGAATGATGGATGGATTGACTAACGGACAATGGATGGATGATGGATGGATGCGTGCAGTCCAAAGTGCTGTTATCGTTTGTCAGAGTCCGTGTTCGTGAGGACGTGAGCTGCGTGACAGAGAAGAATCAGGAGAAAAGTTGCAACAACTCAAAAAAAATAAAATAACTTTTGTCTTTTTAAAGCCGTCATGGCAGCCAGATTAGGTCAGACCTGTAGGTTTACTTGTGGTTCCTAGAGTTCTCTGCTCTGGGTCCAAATGAATGCAGTTTAATACTGTGTACTGTATTTTATATTATTATTGTTTATCCTACGTCTTAGATCCTTGTATACTGTTTGTTGATACTTTATATTTTTGCTGCTGTTGGTGTAACTGGGACCTTGAGTTCATAATCTGGTTCCACCTCGTGTGATGAAATGACGATCAAGAACCTTCAAGAGCACATTGCAGGTCCCCATTGTTACATTTATTGCTGGTCTTTACAGCAGCCCCCCCCCCCCCCCCCAGTCATTTCTAAAACTTGAGCTGTGCAGTTGCACAATCGTGTTTCAAACGTTGCACCAGTTTGGATCTGTCTCCAGTCACCTTCAGCTCGTGGTAGTTGATCTCCTGATCTCTGTCAGTGTCGAACAAATCAAAAGCTTCTTTGATTTCATGTTTCTGGTCCTCGGAGAGTTCCCGTTTCTTCCTGCGCTTGGCTTTGTCGGCTGCCAGCTCCGTCCTGTGGAGATGGAGACGCAACAAAAGGGTTTTACACAAACCAGTCAGAGGCAAACTGGTTGATGGTTGATCTTCTGTCAAAACCACTCAGTGAAAAGTTAGCTGGGCGTTTATCGTCATCTCAACGTTAGCCAGCACGGTTCCATATCATTAATGACTTTCTGGATAAAAACCCCTCAGAGTCTCTGTGGGCTCTATGGCCACACCTGGTTTACATCGTGCTGATGACGGAATGAAAGGTGGATGAAGTTCTTGTACTGACGGAAGAGCAAAGGGTCAGAAAATACACAAACAGTTGTTTGTGACTGCAAGGCCACAAGTGAGTCAGGAGGCCACACTGACACAAACCAACTGCCAAAGGCACCAACATGGATCTGCAGGAACGTTTGAACAACCAGAGCGTCTGGAAGACATTTTATGAGCAAACACAGTTCAAGCACAGGTCCACTGGTGCTGAACATCATTTTTTAACAAATACAACAAAATGATCAGTGAATCTTTCCTAACAGAGCACTTCACTCTCAGACTGCAGGTTTACTTGTGGCTCCTAGAGTTTCCAAGAGCAGAATGGAAGCAAGATCTTTCAGTTATCAGTAGGGGTGCACCGACTGCAGTTTTCTGGCCGATCACTGATCACCGATTTCTAAAGTCTGACCTGCTGATTCTGATTTTGGCCGATATCGATTTAGTTTTAAAAGCCACACAGTCAGGTGTTATAATGTCACAATGCACCTTCGATTTACCAGTATTTTATTAAAAAACATGCCCTTGAACAATATCCTAGAAACAATACAATCTTGTTTAACTGGCCATGAGGTGGAGCTCTGAAATATAAATGAAGTTCAGACAATTGTTGTTAAAAATAAAAAAATCAGTAAAATCGGTTTCTCATGCATTTATCGGGTGATTTCCGATTTCCCAAAATTCAGGAAATCGGGGCCGATAAATACCGATCGGCCAGCCGATTTATCGGTGCACCACTAGTTCTCAGGCTCCTCTCTTGTGGAACCAACTTCCAGTTTCTGTCCATGAGGCTGACACATTGTCCAGTTTGAAGACTGGGATAAGACTTTTCGTTTGATAAATCCTATAGTTAGGGTGGGCTTGGGTTTCTTGAGCTACCCCTGCAGAGCCACGTTCTGCTGCTATAGACTTAGACTGCTGGAGGACAAACTGACCACATCCTCTCTCTGCTGCTGCCTTTACTTACTCTGCTCTACCTGTTTGTATTTATTTCTGCTCTACCTGTTTGTATTTATTTCTGCTCTACCTGTTTGTATTTATTTCTGCTCTACCTGTTTGTATTTATTTCTATCTTAACATTTTTTTGTCTTTCCTCCTATAGAAAGTACACCTGGACTATAGAAAGTACACCTGGACTATAGAAAGTACACCTGGACCATAGAAAGTACACCTGGACTATAGAAAGTACACCTGGACCATAGAAAGCACACCTGGACTATAGAAAGTACACCTGGACTATAGAAAGCACACCTGGACTATAGAAACTGGAGATGCACTGATCCGATACCAACATCGGTATCTGTACCGATATCGAGAAAGAAAAAACAAACAAACTTCTGGGTCAGGTATCGTGACGATGTGACCGATCCACGACTGGGCAGATCTAGTCACTCTAACTCTATGCTTTGTGCTCCGAGTGACGTCACGTGCTAGCGTACTGCCTGAACTAATTAAAGTTGTCTTGTGTTTACATGTCTGACCGAGCTGTGAAGCTCTTGGTGCGTTTAATGTTCTGGTGCAGAGTTTTCAATAAATTTGTAATTCAGTACATTCATGTCTGCGTTTAACAAAACAAATGTTTTAAGTTAATTCAGCGCTGGGTTTGTAAACTCAAACATCCAGGTAGACAACAACAATGGCTAAATCATGTCATCTGGACCCGTTTCAGAAACTGGTCCTGATGACATGATTGAGCCATTTTTGTTAATTCAGCACTGATTTCCTGTATCAGATCGGTATCTGCCGATACCAAACTGCAGATATCGGTATCGGATGTGAAAAAAGTGGATCGTGCATCTCTAATAGAAACCACACCTGGACCTGTCATTCTGTGTCTGTTTCTACTTCCTGTTTTCTCTGTTTCTACTTCCTGTCCTCTCAAACCCAGCTGGTCGAAGCAGATGGACGCTTGTCCTGAGATGGTTCTGCTGGAGGTTTCTTCCTGTTAAAGGGAGTTTTTCTTTCCACTGTCTCCTTTGTTCTTGCTCAGGATGGGAGACTGTGATGATAAGAAGATTCAACGAGTGCTGCTTCCTCAGAGAATTTAATAACTGTCTTTTAAAATGTGAATGTTTTTGTTCAGCGTCCTGAGGCACCGTCTGTTGGGACTTGGAGCTACAGAAATAAACTGAATTTAATCACTATGCAGACATTTTACTTGTCTAACGTCCCATTAGCATCATTAGCTTGTTAGCATTGTAAGTGTTGCTAAAAGCAACAGCAGTCTGTGCCTACCTCAGTTTCCAGCTCACAAACCTGCTCCCATCATCCTGGTCCAGTGTTTCTTAACAAACACAGATCTCTAATCCATTTGTTCAAACCTCCCATCAGCAGAAAATATTCCTTTACAGCCTCCAACTGCTGTTCTTCCACTGATTTGACCTCTAAAAGCCCTTCAGACAGCCCATGCAGCTGACTCCTTCTCAGCCAGTAGAAACTTCCTAATGAGTTGAGCTCAGCTGTGATGCGTTCAATGACAGGAACTCTTTATTTTTTATCTTGACCGATCACTGACCCCTAGTGGGCTCAAATGTTTTAGAGTCGGTTCCAAAACACCAAGGGTCAAATTAACAGAAGTCAAATTAAATTGTGAATGATTGCTACCAGCATACTATTGGTGTTACAAAGTATAAAACAGAATGTAAATAAGAGAACCAATGTTGAGGCTGCTTGAACACTTAGCTGTGTTTGTGCACTTTAATCCGTGATAATCTGGTACAGTTCTGTGGGTCAGAAGCTGAAAGTGTGGAAATCATCTGGGATCAATACAAAGTTGGTCCTCTTCTTCATCAAAGTTGTCACAAAGCATTGTTACATGCAGCGATTCATCCTCCTCCACCTCGCAATTAAAAGAGATTTAATAAGGACTGCTCATATTGTACAGCTGCTTGTTGCTCTACAGCTGAAGCAGCTTGTTGCTTTACAGCTGAAGCAGCTTGTTGCTCTACAGCTGAAGCAGCTTGTTGCTCTACAGCTGAAGTAGCTTGTTGCTCTACAGCTGAAGCAGCATGTTGCTCTACAGCTGAAGCAGCATGTTGATCTACAGCTGAAGCAGCTTGTTGCTCAGAGACCGATCAACAAACCTCAGAAATCACAACATGAAGCCATGTGCTAGCTAGTTGCTAACAAGGTGCTACCTGCTTCAGGTAAATGACAGAAGTAACGAAGGAACAGCTTCTTACCTCAGAGACAAACTCATTCCTGGAAGATTTCAGGGTCTTGGAATAAAACGTTAATGTGCAAACACAATCAGAGCCGGACCGAGCCGAGATCCGTTAATTCCGTTGATTTAACAAGAACGAAGCGTCTCAAGAATCCCGGTTTACAGGCGCATGCGCAGTTGGTATTTGAAGCTGTAAGCCACGCCCACTTTCCAATTACGTCATCATCGTGCGTCTTTAGAAAACAAAATCAGTCCATCCATCAATCTTCAATCCATCCACCCAGTCATTCATCCAACCATCGATTTCATCTAACCATCCATCATCCATCCATTCCATCTATCCATCCAATCATTCATCCATCCATCCAGTCATTCATCCATTTATCCATCCATCCATCAGCCATCCAGTCATTCATCCATTTATCTATCTACCCATCCATCCATCCATCCAATCATCTGTCCATCCATCCATCCATCCATCCATCCATCCATCCATCCATCCACCCATCAGGGATGCCTTCATACATTATTATTAACCTTTATTTAACCAGGCAAATTCCAATGAGATCACAGATCTCTTCTGCAAGGGAGGCCTGGACCAGAAGGCAGACTAAAATAACATCTCCTCCTACATGTCACTGCATGAGTGCAGCTACAGCGTGCGCTCTCAGGACATGATTACCTGCAGTGTTCCCTCAGTGCGAACTTAACTAGACAAAAGGACCTTCTCCTGCTCCGCTCCTGTTTCCTGGAATATCTTGTAAAAAGACCTGAAGCTCTCGACCTTTGACCTCTCTAAGTGGCTTCAAACATCTGTTAAATTCCTGGCAAGAACCAGTGCAGACATGTTCCTGTTTTTAGTATTTTACATAACTTTATAATGTACTTATATTTTGGTTATTTTTTATTTCATTTTTTCTATTTACTTTTCATTTTATATGCTTTATATGATTGTCTACTGTTGTCTGTACCTCACCTGAGTTCTTTTTCTAAAACAGGTCTCTCTTGTAAACGAGTCCTCGAGGCTCAATGAGACTAACCTTAAGAAATAAAGCATGAATGAAAAAATGTCCAGACATCTCTCCACAGCCACCTCTTTTGGGAGGATTCCAAGGTGTTCCCAGGACAACCGAGAGACGTAGTCTCTCCAGTGTGTCCTGGGTCTTCCCTATAAGGTCTCCTCCCAGTCGGACATGGTCTAAGCAGGGAGGCGCCCAGAGTCCATCCTTACTAGATGTCTGAACCATCTCAACTAGCTCCTCCGGATGTGGAGGAGCAGTGGTTCTACTCTGAGTCTCTCCTGATAACTGAACTTCTCACCCTGTCTCTGAGGGGAAAGTCCAGCTACCCTGCAGAGGAAACTCATTTCAACCTCCTGGATTCACAATCTCATTCTTTCAGTCTCTACCAGAGTTCAAGACCAGAGGTGAGGGGAGGAACGTAGATTGACCAGTAAACAGAGAGCTTTGTCTTACAGCTCAGCTCCCTCTTCACCACAATGGACCAGTACAGAGTCCACAATACTGCAGACACTGCACCAATCCATCTGCCAGTCTCACGCTCCATTCTTCCCTCACTCGTGAACAAAACCCCGAGATACTTAAACTCCTCCACTTCAGGCAGAACCTCACCCTCGACCTGAAGAGAACAATCCACTCTTTTCAGATTGACACCAAAACTCACACAATCACCACAGCATCATCCAGCACCCCTCGTCGCCCACTGTCTCTCTGGGATGTTACAATATGGTGCTGTCTTTAATATGCGCGTTAACAAAATGCTGTGTGGTGTCACTGATTTGACGAAGGTAAAAGTAAACAATTAGGTTCTGGTTGTCGTACAGATGCACACACTCTCCCACACACAGAGAAAACAGCAGCACAATTACAACATGTGCCGTCATTCGGCCTCCTTGGTGGTTGTCATGGAGATGTCATTCATCAGGTGGATGAAATGATTTTCCTTTCAGTGCGTAACTACAGAAAGTCCTGCGCACTGAGTTCTACTATTATTCAGATGGTGCCGAGTTCTAGCAGCGCTAATGAAAAGACAAACCAGTGATGTCGAGCTTCAGCTACCTGCTCTACCTCTAACTCTCCTGAGCTGCTGCCGTGGTGATGGACTACCATCTCTTTTACCTGCCTGACAACAAGCGTTCATCACTTTCTTTGTCCAAGCAGCAAACAGAACCTGGAGAACCTTGACTGCTGTTGCAAATGTTTCCTTTCACTTACGGTGACACACGCATGCATCATCATCATCATCATCATCGCCTCAGTCGCTGCTCTGCAACAGGAGAGTCCATGTCTGCGAGAGACCGACCCAAGGCTGGTGAGTGGAACAAACTTACAGCATGCAGTCTCAGACTTTACTGATTTTTTTTTTATAATTTCAGAAAAACGGGGTTATGAACTTCAATCGTCTCTTTTTGTATTTGAATAAAACTGAGTTCAGCTTGAAATGATACAAGACTTAACCACGATACCTAGAACAGTTTTCATCACTGATAGCCAAAGCATCGTATTATGAGACACACACACGGTCAGATGATGTAAAATGTTTTTGGACCGTTTCTTTTTGAGAGAAACGTTTCATCTTTCATTCAACAGACTTGATCAGTCTGAGGCTTGCCAACCCAGACCTGTCGTATAAAAAGCATGTCCTTGATGAGTTTCAAGCCAGCGTGCTGTGGAATTCCCAGAAACTGGTTTAACACATGCAAAGAAGGTCAAGTGTACAGACCATTTAGGCCAGGTGTCCTCAGACTGTTTCTGTGAGTAGCAAGTTGGCCATCTGGCCTAAAACATTTGATTGTTATGCATTGATGATCGATTGTTTTGGAGGGATGGTCCCTTTTTGCATAACCCTAACCCAATCTCACACAGGACTGCTGGACATAAGCAGCAGCTACCCCTGCAACTCAGACAGGAAAAGCAGATAAAGATAATGAAAAATGCTCTGTAGAAACCACAAGCCAGTATGTATTTTTATTTTGGTTTCCTGTCCGCTGTGCATGTTTGTTTTCTCTTGTACAGCACTTTGGTTGGCCTTGTTGCTGTTTTAAGGGCTCTATAAATAAATTGGTATGGTATGGTATAGTATATCTATTGTACTGGTCCCAAAACCAGTTAGGGTTATGTCAGGACTTACATTTTGTGTAAACTCTTTTGTCGAAACAAACATGCGAGTTTGTCAAAGAGACACTTTACCAGATTGGTCACTGCAGAGGTTAACAATGACCTCCACAAACAGGGTGCTGAACGAAATTGTGCTCTTGTTAGTTGAAGACCACGAGGAGGGAAACAATTCAATTCAACAATACTTTATTAATCCCAAAGGGAAATTATTTGTTGTTGTAACTCGTTATCCTCATTTCATTAAGAGATGTTATAGATACTGATGCTGTAGACAGGAAGGATCTCTTGTAAAGGTCCATCCCACAGTGGATCCTAAGAAACTGGCTGCAGATGCTGTCCGATCCGTCCACTCAGACTCTGCTGGCCTCTCGGTTCCCCCGGGCTGTAGGACCGCCCGGATGCTGGACAGAACTCCTCCCAGAGCGATGGCCACTCCTCCCAGCAGTCTGCTGAGCTCCTCGTCGCTGCGGACAGCCAACTGTAGGTGCTGAGGGACGATCCTGTCCTTCTGCTGTCATGAGCCGTGTTTCCTGCTAGTTCCAGGATCTCAGTGGTCAGGCACTCGAGCACAGCTGGCAGGTAGATGAGAATGCATCCACAGAACATCCTTTCAACTCATTTGAGATTTGGGGCTGTAGTTGAGATATTATTTGAGCTTTGAGATTTTAATCAGCTGTTGGTTGTAGAAACTGCCTTGTTGCCATGGTTACACATCATAACAAATGTCCAAAACTAAAAAAGTTTCAGTAAAAATCCTTCCAGCTGCACAGCATCTGATACCAGAGGAAACAATCATCCAAAACATGTGATTTACATCCAGAAAAAGAGGAATTAAAGTTTCCAAAATCTCAAAATGAAAGTAACAGAGCTGCTCCAACATGCAGCCACCTTGAGCGGCGCAATTCTAGAACTTTAACATGTCAGGAGACAGAGGGCGAAGATGAAAATCAAGAATGTAGGCCTGAGGGTTGCAACTCTAAATGTGGGGACAATGACAGGCAAAGGTGGCTGACATGATGCAGAGAAGGAAGGTAGATGTTTTGTGTGTCCAAGAGACTAAGTGGAAGGGCAGCATTAGATCAAGGTTCAAACTGTTTTACCATGGTGTAGATAGAAAGAGAAATGGAATGGGGTGGTCCTGAAGAAGGAATTTGCAAGTAAATACTGTAGCAGAGGTGAAAAGAGTGTCAGATAGGGTAATGTATCAGAAGGTAGAAGTAGAAGGTCTAATGGTGAATGTTGTCAGTGGTTATTCTCCACAGGTTGAATGTGAGGTAGAAGTGAAAGGATCTGGATGAAGTGATAGAGAGTATTCCCAGGGAAGAGAGAGTGGTGATGAGAGCAGACCTGAATGGACATGTTGGTGAAGGAAACAGAGGGGATGAGAAGTGATGGTAGGTTTGGTGTACAGCAATAGTGATTAGGGAGACAGGTTGGAAGGTACGTGTTGTGTCCCCTGAACAAAGAAAAGATGATAAGGAAACTTTGGTGGTAGAATAGTGAAAGGCAATTATCCTGAGGAAGAGGTTAGCCAAGAAATAATAGTACAGTGAGAGGACTGATGAAAGGAGACAAGAATGGTAAATGGACTGTACTTATATAGCGCCTTTCTATCTTATCAAGACACTCAAAGCGCTTTACATTACAATCTGTGCCCCATTCATACAAAGTACAGCACCCTACTATATCTCTACAAAACTAATGAAAAAAATCATTCTAAAGAGATTAATCAGAGCTTTATCACATTCATACACCGATGGGACACACATCGGAGGCTATGAGGGGTTCAGTGTCTTGCCCAGGAACACTTCGGCATGTGACTTCTGGTGGATTCGAACCCCCAGCTTTTGCATTGAAGGATGACTGCTCTAATCACTCAGCCACAGCTGCCCCAATATAAGGAGGAATATAAGGAGATGCAACATAAAGCAAAGAGGGAAGTAACAAAGGCAAAACCAAAAACTTATGATGAGTTGCACAAGAGACTGGACACTAAGGAGGGAGAGGAGTATTTGATTCGACTGGGGAGA